ATGTTTGGGTTGTTTCGGTTGTTCCATTAGATCTGATTAGTAACTGAACGATGCAGCCCACGCATCGTTTCCTGTTGACTGTCGTTCAAGGAGCAAGGACGAAGATAATTTGTTTTATTCATGGCATGATCAAGCAGTGGTCAGTGTGAACCTAAAACATCAACTGTAGTGTCACTCCGCCAGTAATGAAAAAAGGATTCGTGTATCTCCTGACGATTGTTAGAGATCCACTTTCATTCCAAATATTCTAATGCATAAACGTTCACGTCAAGGTAACGATGTTATTTCTTCATGTGGCATTTGAACTTATCATTTAACCATGCAATTAATCATTTATACTTGAAAATATTTTTAAACTTCTTTATGAAAGCTGCAAACAACTTTGAATACATTTTGGATAAAGCATGGAATTCCTATGCTAGTACTGTTAAGCAGATTACCTGCAAGAAATGAAATCGTATTTACATCAGAAAGACATGAAGAGTCCGCAAACTAAGAATAAAGGGACTCCAGCATACCACTAAGAAATTCCACCAAGAGCAATCGCAACATATTTAGCACGCAGTTATGGTTTCATTAATAATAATTCATTTCTAATAATAAACTTCTAGATGATGCAGTGGACAAACTTTGCCCCGTTTGGCATTCACTGTATTTTTATGAATTAAGAAATAGCATTCAAAAATACATAAAGTTTCAGTGATATCTGTTCAGCTTGTTACGCAATGCCCTGACAGTTTAGTGGTTCAGTTACTTAATGTTGGTTCGAGTTTCAGCCTCCTTATAATGTCTCACTAGTTTGATTTAGCGCCTGCCTTCATTCATTACTTTTTTTGAGCGCTTGAAATGTTGCCTCTTTCTGGCATGTCTGATTAATGACTTCCTTAAAATTATTTTTACACAACTGTCCTTAATTACTATTCTGGACGTATACATTTACTTTTTGTATTTTTTGTGTATCACCATATGTATATATTAACGGCAAAAATATTTGCTTGTAGACAGCTAGGTCTTGAATTGGGCCGTGACTGGCTTAAATGGTCCTCCTAGACACTTAGAAGCAAGAATTTGGTGCGTTCAAGCAAAGTAAATCCGGTCTGAGACAATTTAAATGTAATGATTACCGGCGGATTTTTAAAGCTACTAAATGACTGCTACCATCGGAGTTATCTTTTGACTATATATTTGCCTACGGCTAGTAGAAGATTTGGTTAGTGCTCAAATCTCAAATGCACTCTTGTTCAACCCATGTCAGAAAAGCTGTCCTGCATCCAATGTAATGCAGGTGTTCAAATACCACGAAGCCGTGCTTTAATTAAATGTTTCCCACAGGTAACTGCAAGACGACGCCCTTATGCCGAGTAAATCCGTTATGGAAATTAAAATTTTATGATTACCGATGGAATGTGAAAATCACTTTGTGACAGTTACTTCAGAATATTGATGTTACGTGTTGTCTACAAATGTTCGCTTATCAACTGTTACGTGGACCATCTGTCGCTTAGCAGATTGGATATCGTTAAACGACTAATTAAGCTTTCTTTGCTGTGTTACTGCTCCATATCTTCCAGCTCGGTGTCATTTTTCAAATGAATACCACGTCATCAGCAAATCTTAAATGACTGAACCGCTCTCCGTTGATGCTTATTTCCAATTTTCATTCTGTCTACCTGAGCATCATTTTTAAACAAATTATGAAGCGGTTTGGAGAAATTGTGCCTCCTTGTCCTTGCTTCACGTTGTTCCTGGACTGGGGTCCTGCAAGAGTGAGTCGAACAGAGGGATTTTCGCTATACACGAAGATATACCATTTAATATGTCCTGTTCTGCCAATGCTCTCCCTATATGGCGTCAAGCTCGACTGAAGCAAACTCCGTGTCCTGGTCGACTAAGGTAATGCACAGAAGCAGTCTGCCTTCTTTCCAGCGTTTCAGTAGCTGGGTCAGAGTAAAAAGGCTGTCGACTGCGGAGAATTTTATTTATTTTTTGAAACCCAGTCATGGAGTGCAAACTGGCAATAACCTTAAGGTGAAAAATCTATCGATAATAATGATACTGAGTTTCTATGCAACTTATGCAGAACAGTGGTGCTAAAGACGTAGTTCTCCGGAAACGATGCGCACCTCAGTCAAACTTTTATCTCGTGCTGCGTGTACTGCTCCATTGTGTAGCTGTTTTCTTTTTAGGAAAAGTTTTCGAATATGTTTAGAATTTTTATCTATATCTGCCTAATTTGATAGTAGTTTCATATTGTCATTGCAATCAATAACACATCATTATGCATCGTCAATTCCCACGAAATGAAGCGTTGAAGTTTCTTAATGAGGCCCATCAGAGTTTTTGTGAAGAAATAAATGTCATAGAGTTCTGCTCATATGGTGGTCAGCTTTTTCCACTGCTGTTCTCGAATTCCTCATGCAAGGGTGATGCAAAGCAAAGATCTTCGAGCTTGATGAGAACAACCGGTTCTCGCGCGATTCGACACTAATACGTCATTAGTCATCTGCGAAATCGAGCAGGAGTTTTTAAGCAGACTTTTTTGAGGTCAAACAATGTCAAGAGTTCGGTTTCGATGCCCTGCTACTTCTTCTTCATCGATTTCCGTGCCTCACTCGACTCACTCTGTAGTCCAACAGTGTGAATGATCCTGAGCATCTTCTGAATTTCTTTCCAAAGGAAAACAGAAGTACTGCCTGCACATCATTTGATTGTGTAATGACACGAAAATCTGTTTCCTATATCAGTTGTTTCCCTCATAGAAGCAGTAAATACTTTCTTACCTCAAAATGCAAACGTTCGACTGAGCCGGTGCCATGACACGTGGTAATGCGCAGTTCCGTCTCGAAGCTACAGATGAACGGGACAAAAGATTCACTTGAAGCAAGTCCATCTTGGACTGGGATCGTCGCTCGTGCTGAATGTCATTTTGCAAAAAGAGTCTGGACGTCTTTAATCAAGCAGTCTGCCTCATTATTAAATTCTCAATTTGAAATTAATGACAGCATATCGTAGACTATCTTAACATGAGGTTACGGTTGTATACACACCATATAACTTACTTACCGAAAGCATGTAAAATTTAATTTTGCTCTTCACCATAGCTTTCAACTGAATGCTTTTTAGGTAGCCCGTATACCGTAGTCATTGACAAGGTAGGGGAGATTCTTAGGTTGTCACGGAACACGGAATTAAGTCTTTGTTTTAGATACCGTCGAATCTCAAAGATGGAGATTACCGGTTACATGCAAAAGGCGAAACTGTCACTGGCGAAGTGCTATTCGAAGCCTCGAAGGAGATCCAGTGTCAGAATAAGTTTCTGTCCATCTTCATTCAGACTGACAAGTCAATTTACAAGCCTGGTTCGAAAGGTACGCTTTTCTTAGTTTTCTGTTTTTTGACATGGTTTCGTGGATATTGCATAGGGATTTAGTCTAGAATTAATTGCGGGTAGCGGATTAATATTAACTCTCATGACCATTTAGTGCTTTAATGCTTTCCACCCGCCGAAGTAACAACTTAAAAGAAAATTTATATGAGGTTTTCGACCGTTGTTATTCTAATCTTCTTTAAATTTCCATGATGGGAGCCATTTTGACCTAGCATACTGTGCAAATGATTTTTGTTTTTATGACATCGGCCAACTATCCCTTCTAACAGGGACATCACCTACAGATGTTGTGCACATATGATACCATGTTTTCTTCCCAAGAGGTAGTACTTTGGAAAGACGCAAGTAAGCGGTGTGTCATTTCAATTTATCACTTTTCGGCCGTAATCAGGTGTCCATTCGTTGTAATAATTCGTCATATTGGTAAAGCAAGGCGATATTTTGTCTTGTGAACGCTGGAACGCTAATGAGTGAATTTGACGCTTAAGAGAGTTAATAAAATATCTCATAACTTACATATATAAGACAACAAAATTCTTGTTTGCATTATTCAATACCTCATGGTTCTTTTGAAGCAGTTCGACTTAAATATAAATTTTCACGGAAGTTTCTTTACTACCTTTAGCACTTTCGAGGCCCTTAAAGTCTTGCACTTTAGTTCTTAATTCGTGAATCTCTGAGTAAGGAACTCATCGCGATTTTTCTCCAAGACAACTGATCATAAGAATGATGAGTCAGTGACTTATGTGCAGCAAAGCTTTATGGTGCATTTGCACAACGCTCATACCATAATTTACCTAACTTAAGGCAATGCCATTCCAAGCTTTCCATCTGACACTTTACCTTTGACCAAGGCAAGGTGAAAATCATAAATTTAAAAAAGTTTTTGACCGTACTCTGTTTCAGTGCAAATGCGTGTTATTGTGGTCAAACCAGACTTGAAGCCTTTTAATGGAGAAGCGGATATAACTATCACAGTAAGTAAACAAAAAATATTTTATTCTTTTTCTTCGCAATCATCTGCACTGGTTCGTTATGTTTTGATGTTGCCGTGCAACCTAATTAATCATGCGCATTGCTTGACCCTAGAAAGTTTAAACTAATGTTTTTAAAGTTTTCATGCATCATAGAATTTTGTCTGATCCTGGAGGAGATGTGGGTCATTCAACGCACTTCGGTGTAAGAAAACATGTTGATTCTTATGCGGTAACATATGAGGAATAATAGCTCCTGAAACATCGTTTGTGATGAGCGTAGGGTGGTTCTAAGAGACAAAACAATTCGTGATGCATTTGAACCTGCGGATGTTCAAGTGCCATACAGCCGTGGTTTGCTTAGATATAACCCTGCCCTTCTGCTAGATCAGAAACAGCGTGGGGACTGCGAAATGCGGTGCGGTGTGATATGGACTTGGTAGCGTTATGCGCCATAAATACTGAATTTAAATATCGATCCTTTCAGTTAATCTCGTTTCTGCTTTAGATATTTTCCAACACTGCCAGATATATGAGGCGAGACTCAACCTCGTTTGAACAGTTATAGCTCTCTATTAAATCCTTAATGTAATTTGATACTTCCTAGAGTGAAACAAGGGGCGAACCAGTTTCACTAAGATATCTTCCATCAAGAAAGGAAGTCGCAGCAACTATTTCTTGCTCAGCCGACCGGCAGAAGGCCCAGGGGACGGCCAAGATTGACCTGGTGCAAATATATGGAAGGATTCTGCTCCAGATTCCAGTTGTCTTTCTGCCGAAGCTTAGACTCTGGCTCAAGATCAGGAACGTTGAAAGCACTGTCTGACGCGTCTGTCTCCGCCACCCGAAAGGAGAAGTGTTCATGGAAGATGAAGATGAATCTTTTACCCATTTCTTTCCGTTTCACGAAACTCCCTCTGAGGTTATGGCCTAGAAAGATTCGCTTCTGTAGGTGAAGCGTTGGTTGCCCGCCTCGCACCAATGATACATGTGGGTGACCAAGTGCTTCATTTCTCTTAATTTGTTGCGCTGAATCCGGTTAGAGAGACATCCAAAGAAGTCCATGAAGGTAGGTACCTCAACCGCTACGGACTCATGCCCTAAACGAGCTCATTGCCGAACGAAACCGGGAAAATATGCGCAGGCTGCTGCATAGATTTGAACAACCCCTCAACTTGATGAAGCACATGACGCCATGATCTTCAGCTAAATTACTTCCGAAAGCAGCAAAGATCAGAATAATATGGGAGGAGCATCCTCTTGCGTTAAGAGCCGCCACTGCAAAGGCAAGTCTAATGAAGGGGAA